CTCTACCGAACACGCCCTTAATTTCTTTAAGAAACTAAGAAAGAAAATCGTATTACTCCTTGAACCGTCAAAAACATGTACTTCATAAGTTTATGAAATTGTGCTCGTTCCGTAAAGATTAAAATCCAATTAAAATTAAAAATATAGTCGTTATTGGATCTCACTCGTCTAATAAAAATCAACAATAACAGCTAATTTTTCAATTTTAATCCGATTTTAATATCTACCGAATACGCCCTAAATTCGATGTAACGTGACTATAATTTTTATTTTTAGTATTTACTTTAATTTTATTATTATATGAATTTGTTATTTAGAGTTTGGAATATGTTTTATTTGGTTATTTTTTTCCATATGTTTATTTAATATTGGTGGAACCAAAAATTTCATATTGCGATGTTTGAAATGTTTATTTAATTACAAAATGAATAAGATATGGCATAGGAAAATTCTCGTTTTTTTTTTATTTAAATAATATGGAATTATTCTATCTAACAGTGAATAAACTACCATTACATAATTTTATATTTGTTGCATGCCATTTTTTTAAAGTTTAAATGAAACTTTTAGTAACGATTTAAATATTAGAAATTTGGGTCGTTACAATGATAGTTAATTTTGCATGCCCTTATTTGTTCCCAACTATTCTTATTTATAGATTTCTAACGAGGTCATGGGATAATTACGTCCTTTATATTTATGCACATTGCAGTCGTTGATTAGTGAACTTATAACTAAATTTATTAGTTTTTCACGTTTTATTCATCAGTCGACGTATTCCACATTAATTGGTTATGAACTCATGCTTTGTGATAATAGTTAGAAAACTTATTTTTATATTTAATTTACTGACAAAAGTTTTATCAAAAAATAAAATAAAAAATATATCTATAAAACTTCTGTCTTTAAAATAAAACAATCAAAGTTAAAGGTCCAAAAATGAATCAGAATTATCGATGCACGTCTTGGTCTTACGTTCAAGTTTTGCGAGTCATTCTTAATCTAGGATGGGTGATTGCTAATTTAGTCAACACTCCGTCAAAAAATGAAAAGAAATAAAGCCCTAACTCGAATGGTAAGAGTGGAACTTGGGTTAAATTAATTAATTAATGAAAATTTATTAAATTTGGACCAAGGCATTCTTGTATTTATTTCAATGACTAATATCTAGTCAATGTCCATTAATATATTCTTAATTACTTTAATTACTGTCATATAATGTAGAATTTGTGTGGACAATACACCAACATTAAATTATATATTATACTTAATAAGATAATTGTCCAAAAAAATTTCTTTAACATTACAATTTTCATATTCAGTACTGTAAAACTTCTATATCACCTAACTAATAAAATTTTTCGATTCCTACTCAGATACTAAATTAATAATCTCGTTAAATGCATAAGAGAAGATTTTTTTTAGATCCTTTAAAACTCAACGAGTACGATAAATAATTAACTTTTAATTTGACAATATTTTCTTCAATCCACCTCTTTTTCGACATGTGCATGTGCATCTAAAGTCTTGTGCTCTTTCTTTACATCTAAATCAAACTCAACTTCATCCTTAATGTATGTATTATTATTAATATTAATATTTCCTCTTTAATGTATGCATGTAAAAGTCTCTTGCTTTTTCCTTTTTTCTTTTTTTTTTGAAAGATATCGTTCAAGATATTAAACTTTGAAATCAATGCATGTACATTAATGTTTCATCTATAATATGTATGTGTGTTCTTTTTGTGTGCTTACATTTTAAATTTTGAATTTTACCATGTTCAATTTATTTTAAAATTTTTTATTTGCATTTTGGTAAAATATAATACAAGTTATAAAAAATATAAACTACTCTATAACTTAAAATATAGAGTAGTTTATCAATACACGTTATTAATTAATCGATAAATTAATAAATTATTCGTTTATCTAAAAATTGATAACCCCTCTAAAGTAATATTTTTTTCTCGATCCCAACATTATTATTTTCAATCATATTACATGTACATTTTTCTTTACATTAAATTTAATGCTCTTCTACAAGAGATCCATCAAAGCCATTGATTTCTACAACATTGTATCACATCATTATCCAAATTTTGATACATTGGAGGGAATGCCAAGGAGAATGTAAACAACAATGTACATATAAGAGGTTATTCATTTGCCTTTTCTATTTTCGATCTTCTAGAAAGGTAATGGTCGACCTCATTTTCACAAAGTTACATATACAATTTGTCAATAAAAAGGTTCTTTAAATAAAAAGAAAAATTATAGTACAGATATTTCACGTTGAAATTATAGGGGTTAAATTTTCAGCTTACAAATGTACAATTCATTGCTTAAAAAATAAATAATATAAATACAATCCATTACTATTATGCCTCTGTTTTCACCTTTTGGCTTTTTCACCTCTTCCTCTTGCTCATTCGGTAAATCACCGAATCTTCTTCAACTGCAGTGTTTAGAATATTTTCGTAACCTTAGTTGCCGTTTTGAGCTGTTACAGTGTAAAAAAACGTTATCTACTTTTGTGAATGGATAATTCTATTTGTACCGAATGAGGATTACCGAAAATATGTCACCCTCTCACATGCGCGCAGGTCCGCATTAATAAAAAAAACTCTCAAATGTGTGGTCCACACACCCTATTGTGAGTGTAGATAAAAGATTATGTAAAAAATTGGGTGTACATGTAGCATAACCCTTTGTGAATTCTCAACAGGGGATCAAGTGTTAAAAGCGTTTATCGAACCTCTGAGACTTAAGTTGAAAAATTCGTGTTCATTTATTTCTGGGCATAACAATATACTTCCACTTTTGGATTAAACATGACAAAAAGTGATTGTCACGTCTTACAATTGGATTACACAAATCACGTAACATTTAGGCCCCGTTCGGGAGGGATTAAAATTCAATTAAAATTGAAAATATGGCCGTTATTGGGTCCCACTCGTCTAATAAAAGTCAACAATAATGACTATATTTTCAATTTTAATCTGATTTTAATCCCTCCCAAACAAGCTCTTAATATTTTCTGAAAAGGTAGCTGCTCTATAGCCTAGGTCTGACACTTTGGAATAGGTTGACAAGACTTGACGTGTTTGTTTAAAATTAATCATATCAATCAATCACAGAAGGTCTCTTGGAAAGTGTGGGTTGAATGCCTCTTAGTGCTAGAGGTCCCTTGCCTCATTCTGGGGGCTTCGGCTACTCTCATGATGCTTCGTCTGAAGCGGTGTAAC